TGTCCTTTTTTGACATAGAGAGCCCAGAACTGCACACAGTAGTCCAAATGAGGCCGTATCATAGATCTATAAGGAGCACTGTAATATTGGCTGTTTTAATTTTCAATTACTTTCCTAACAATCCCTGGCATAGAGTTTGCCTTTTCACTGCAACAGCACACTAGACTGGCATATTTATTGAGCTATACACTAAGAGCCACAGACCTCTTTCTCTCTGTGTTTTAGCAAGTTCAGACCACACTGTGTGTGTGTGTGTGTGTGTGTGAAGTGCCATCGAGTTGCAGCTAACTTATGGCAACCCCAGCAAGTGAGAAGCAGAGATGGCTTGCCACTGCCTTGTTCTGCAGAGTCTTCTTTGGTGGTTTCCATCCAAGGACCAATCCAGCTTAGCTTCCAAGATCTGACGAGACTGGGTTGTACCATGCTGCCTTCACTCCCTCAGACTCCAATAGTGTGTATTTAAATTTTTTGGGGGGAAGAGTTTGTTCCAGTGTGCATCACCTCACACTTACCTACAGTAAGAAAAACTGGACTTCTCTCTGACAAATTACTGCAGTTCATTATATGTAATCTTATACAGATCCAAGAAACAGTAGATATATATGTAATGTTCCTAAAAATGTTTTTTCTCTGTATGTAGTTGCAAATGAAGTGTTCACAGATCTCCCACCATGGTATTATTTATGTACAAAACACATACACACACACACACACACATATATATATTTATTTATCTATCTTATTTAAAACATTTCTATGCCATCTTTCCACCCAATTCAGGGCCTCCAAGGTAGTGAACATTAAAACATTTCAAGCATTAACATTAAAAAATACTTAAACCAAATAAAACATAATAAACATATAGTCACATAAATGGGGGGAGAGCTAATAAGAGTGAGTGAGAGAAGGTCAAACAAAAAATCCTGTACATGCAATGACACATATATATGTGATAGCAAATTCAATGTGCATGTAATGTGGGAGGGTGGCCTACTTAGATTTTCTCATGAAAACATCATATGACTGACCACTGTTCAGCTTGAGATGAAAAACTATTATGTTATTAGCTATGTTATTCTTCCACTTGCCCACCTCCTACCCAAAGGCACAAATAGTTCCACATTGGCTGCTACAAATGAATATAATGTGTGCTGCCACATTATCATGGACCAGCTAATGAGAACATCACAAGGTCCTTTGCCTACTAATGGCAGTTCTAGTCTTACATATTGTACAACACAGTCTTGCATTTTCTGATAGTCTTTGGGTTATTCTTTTTTTCACAATTTCCTTTCTTCTTATTCAGTTGCCTTCACAGCCCTCTATGACATAAAACATCAGAATACATTCCCCCCCTTCAGTATTACTCCATTTCTCTATGCCAAGCCAACATGCAGCTGCACCCACTTATCAGATGGGTGGTGACAGATACTCAAAACGTCTGGAATATTACAATCTCCGTGCTGCCCAACACGTATTCCATGGAGTTGACCTACATACAGCGCTCTCCAACCACCCAGATTTTCCCAACTCTGCTATAGTGAGTCCACAGCACTTTGAAATATTACTCTTTTCCTGCACAGATTGCCCCTTCTTTTCGGTGGTCCCCCAAGTCCTTCACATGTGCCTTCAGTTCTAAGGGCATAACAAATCTACCGAATTTCACTAATGTGTGCTGTGCATCGGTACAATAAAAAGGAGCATGAATGGTAAACAAGGGCGGGATGCAACAACATATTGTCAAGTACATATACTTCACATCTTTAAAATGTAAACAAACATAATAATCCTAAAGTGCCCCCTGCATAACCAATACATTGTGCTCTATTTGTGCCAGGGTTTCCTAGAACTGATCCCAAAAATCTAGTTGTAGAGTAGTGGCTCAACCTTTGAACATATTAAGGTGCTCCAGAGCAGGGTTCAGATGCGCATTATTTACCAGTAAGATATGATACAGACCCTGCACAATCAAACATTATTGATCCTTGGATTTCTTTTCTATCAAGAGGATGAATTCTACTGCTGAGTTCTTTCAGGCTGCAAATTTAATTTAATTCTATACATGTTAACTGGAGAGGAAGTTACAGAAACTACAGATTAATAATTCCATTCACAACTAGGATGCTGTGGGTGCTCTAAGACAGCAATGTTACTCACACAATAACTTACCAATGTCTTCCTTATGTGACAAATGTTTTAAATTCATAGTTTATTTCTCTTTCAAATAAAATAAAAGAAGTCCTTATTCAAAGTCAGTTCTATACACTACAAAAGGAACACAAAAGTTAGTCATTCATTTTGTGTTCTGTTAACGATGTGATCAGTGGGAAAAAGGGCTTGATTTTTCGAGGAGACGTGGAGAAGCTTCTCTTCTCATCTGAGAAGTATATCAAAAGGCTGGCAAATTCTGGAGTCTGCAGTCAGCACAGCCTGAAATAAACCCTGTCCAGAGGCCTAAATAAACTGCCCATTGGAGACCACAAGCATTTGGCAAATTGTCCCACTTGGGCTGAGCTGAAATTCTGTAGACAATTAGTTACGACTGATGGATGCAAAATGAAAGAATATTTTAGCCTTGGGCATAAATGCTCTTTAGCTGTGCATCAGCTTAGCATCCCTGTGTTTCTCTTTCTATCACATCATAATATTTATAAAGAGCCTATACCACTTTACCATCTGTCTTCATATAAGTCTTCAATATGATTTCATGCCTTCTGAACCCTTCTCATTTAGGTGCTACACACATGATCAAGAGGGACAGCAGCATCGTGGTAAAAGGAAACGCTTCATCCACATTACCCTCAGCTAATAAAAAAGCTTTTGCATGTGTGCACACACGCACGTAGCAGTCAGAAAATGCCCCCATAACTAGGAACACGCTCCACTGCTCTCTGTTAGAAACCAGCTCATCAACCAAACATAAAAAGGCATCTTCTGACATCACCTACATACAGTGAGCCCCATTCCCGAACAGCATACATATAAATATATAGACTGAACTGTATAATCAAACATCTTAAATGTATTATAATCCTTGATCATTTTCCATCTAGTAGGTGGTTCATCCACTACGTCGTTCATATTTATTCCTTTTTTATATCCAAGTGAATTTACAGTATGTAATCACGCAAAGGATCTTCAGCCAGTTTTCCAAATTTAATATCCACTTCTGCCAGTGACAAAGAATATGCTCCCTTTCCTGGAGTTACCAACTAAGGAAAACAACAAACATAAACCCTCCTCCCCCCTTTCCCT